CATTTTTTATGTTTATATCTTTATGTTTGATTCTGAAAACCTTACATCAATGGCAAACAATGAAGGGCACTGAAAGAAACTGATAGACTGATTTGTCATTAATCCTGGGGCTTTCCTTTAGTTTATCTGTGCTGAAAAATGAGAGGGAGAAGGGGGAGGAGATGGGACTGAATGGGTAAAAAAAAACCTCTCTGGTAGTTGAAACCCCTTTAAAAATGGAAAGGAAAAGAATTAAAGGCTAAATTAAAACCTAACAGCTAGATTTGATTATCCAAAGCCTTCAATAAGCAAGTAATTAATGATGGTTTAACAGTACAATTTCTATGTAACATCCACATCATTTTCAGCACCTTTCACATGATTAATGCATGTCTGCAAGATAGCTGTCACCAATCATGACCAGCATTGAGAATTGCCTAGTCACAAGCAAAATTATGCATGCCTACTAAGGAGATGTGATTAAGTAGTGAGTGACGCAGCATCCAAGACAAGCTTTCCATTTGGGTTTTCAATTTAAAAGGAATCACTTTTAGTTCCAAATTGTCTTTCCAATTTAGCAGCCAAGTAAAGCAATCCAAACTCCTTCATTTACTGCTTACTGACCCATATAAAATATGATTTAGATTGATTGTCAAAATGAATAAATTGTTCATCAAGTAGATGGCTGCTCAGAAGACACAGAAACTGACATACAAGTACAGAAGTCTAAAATCTTTTACATCACAGACGTCAACACTAGGCAGTAAGAAAATTCTATACAGATTCTATAGCATGGAATACTGTTCTCCAAATTCAAGCTACCCAAGCTTCAACAGTAAATAATCACAGCTCACATTAAATGATCATGGGTGTTTTATTTATTCTTCTGTGACAGGGACAAATACCTTCATTCATTTCAATATGAACATAGACTATACATTCACAGAAAAATAAGATAAAGAGAGCTACTTGTCTCTCTAATGTAAGTTACTTTGCATTCGCTGGTGTTTGATACATTACCTCTTCCATTTTTAAATGGTCTTTTTTTGTTACACTCCATCAAGTATTCCATCAAGCAGACCAGGTGACAGTGAGACACAAGATCACAAATTGCGAGACGAATAACAATGATGGATTGATGGTATAGTTTTGATTTCAACTCTGTGCTAGATCTGCATTTTTCCTGGCTTCTTATAGGCTCATTCTCTATCACTGCTTTGAAACGCATGCTCTTTTGCCCACAATGGGGACCAATATGTGAAAAAAAATCAGGTCTCTGCAAAAATGTTCTTGATAATATAGGCTCCAAATCTCTTTATTCCAAATGGCAGGGCATAGTTCTTGCATGACTTAAGTTTTATTTTAGATCAAATAAAAACTTTTTCCCCAGAATTGATTTGCAACACAAAGTCATTAGCAACATAAGCAGCATGTTCCATACTCCCACAACTCTTTGGGTACAAAAGGGTCATCTGTTTTTAGTTCAGTGTGCATGTGCATGTAGTTTCCAAATATGCCTTCTGCTTTTTCGTTGTTTTTTCTAACGAAGCCCACAGAGATGACTTTGTCAATGCCTTTGAGGATTTTGAATACTTTTATCAAGTCACCTCCTCATCTTCTCTGTTTGAGACTAAAAAGGCTATTTTTTTCACCGTCACTTCAATCCCTTGAAACTCCAAAATGCACCATTTTATTTAATAAGAGAGTAATAGTGACTTACTTCTAAAATAAAGCATTACCAAATCTCTAATTACTTTCCAGTTACAGCAACTTTCAAACAACCAAACAGTATTTTACCAAACATACAGCTTTAACTCCCTTAACATCCCTTAAGAAATGATAAACCATATAGGGATTCCTTTCAAACGCATGGTCAAGCCCTTAGTTGTGTTTTCAAATTCAAATTCACACTACAGGACTTTTCCTAGGACTTTCAGTTGCAGCCTTCATTTACATCATCATACGAAAATCACAGCGAGTTGTAGAGAGTCACAGCGCACGCCTGTTACTGTCAATTGTGTAGTGTCACAGCTCCAGTAACTCAGTCATAGTGCTTTTAACAGCCCCTACGACTCTCTGTGACTCGTCACAACTAAATAAAAAAAGTGAGCCAGATGTGTGCTTGTGAGATAATGTGCCCATTATATTACATTATAGCACAATACTAACGTGTTTACATCATTTGTTTTAAAGGTGTTTTATATTTAACTTTAATTTTTGTAAATATCTTCTCTATTTATAAAGAAGAATTATATTTTTGAAGATGTTTATTTGTGGAAAACAATGCCTGTGTTACATTTTTCAAGATGTTAACGTGCTTGTTCTCCATGCTCCCCCTTGTGCTCCACATTGATTGGCTGCCAGAAAGAGGCGACCTCGCGGTACTTTTGCGGCGCAATACGAGATTTGGAACTGTGATTAAAAGTTGTAAGGGAATCGTGGAATTGGTACACCCCTGCGATTCCTAGTCGTATAATTTGACACCCTCTAGGACAGAAAAGGCAGCAAGATTTAGCAACTGCAGTCGTTAAATTTTACATTCTCTCTAACTAGAAGTCATACTGAGTGATGTAGTGTGATGCCGGCTTAAGCAGAGGCTTTTCACACCCAAAGCACCTAAAACAAGATGTCTAAATTGTTCTAGTTGCATTGCTGTAAATATCAGTCTTGCATGAATTTGGAAGACAATGTGAATTATTAAATGTTCTAGATTTCCAGCTGAAACCAAAACATTGTAGATGTTTTTGAGAATAGTATCAGGCAAATACCAACCTGTTTTTTTAACAACAAAACAATTGCCAAAAGGTGGTTTCGCTGTCAGGTTATTTCAACTGGAAAAGGACTTGGGGAAGAGTTTCCCTTTAGAAATCACAGACAATTGAAACACCATCTCCAGGGCACATAAGAGAAACACTTTAGAAGTCATGACTCATGCATTAAGCATTTTCCATCTCAGAAGCAGAGAAAGTTACAAATGGGTAGATCGACTGCCATGGAAATCGCAGTATTGATGAGACTAACTTTGGCACCTTTTAAACAATGTTTAAAATGTTGATTTTAAGCTGCTGGTTGAATACGTTGGTTTTGAATGACTTGAAGTTTTATATGTATTACTTCAGGTGGGTAGCTGCGTCACAATGCGTAGGCTGCAAGGGAACAAGTAATAGGTTTATTCCATGCTGAAAAAAAGAAGACAGAGAACAACGTTTCGGCCGTGGAGCCTTCTTCAGGTGTGGTATGTATATGTATTACTTGTCAACTATGTTACAGGTCATTCTCGATTTACAGTATATGTGACATATATCCTTGAAAAACTCCCATAAGTGAAAAATGCATAAAGTAAAAAGTAATTTCTACAGGAATGCACATAAACAAGGGGGATGCATGTCTACGTAAAACCTTTTAACCTATGTATTCCTGTGGTCAACACAGGAGTCATATGCAAAAGTTATCAGGATTGTATAACTACCTTCGGTCCTTGAACTCTCAGGGAGCCTTTTATATCTCATAAGTAACACTACACATCTCTCTATTTTTCTTTAAGATTTTGGACCATAATTAATTGCAAACTTATTTCTTGAATACTAAGGGCTACATTCGTATTTGGTGTTTGTTCAAAAAATATTCCAAATTACAGTATATTCTTTATACTGAAGTGTGTTTAAGACTTTTTTTTCCCACACAATAACTTACATTAAGGATTTTATTGATTTTAAATCTATACAATGTCTATATATTGTATATATACAATATAAACGTAAGGTAGAATCTAAGACTATAAAATCAATGACGTGAGATGATTGCCCAGCTGCCTGGGTGTCATGAACACCGCCATCAAGCTGTTGTCTGCTGGCCGTGCCAAAGCATGTTAACCAACACGTCCAAATAAAAACTAAGGGACAATTTCAGAATAGCCAATCAAACCTAGCCCTCTTAACTTTGGGATGTGGAGGAAAACTGTAGCACCTGAAGGAAACCAAGACAAATGCGGTGAGACCACCATAAAAGCAACATGTCCAAAGTCTGGGCTGAACCCAGTACCCTGGAGTGGCGAGGCAAGAGTGCTAATTGTCACACCACCATGCTGCCAACAACTTCAATAAAACTATCCGTAAATCTCAAGCAATACTACTGCATTCTAAAAATGCACAAATGACCTTTTCAGTTCTCCCGCATGATTAATTACCTAATGTCTTATTAATTGGGAAATTTAGCTGAAATTTAAAAGCTTTAATTTCCTATGCATATCATCCTGTCTGAAAACAAATGATTAAACTGTTCAAAGGTGAACAGGCAAGGTCATTCACACATTTGACTTACTCATTTCTCTACCTGTTCTTATCTGACTAAAGCCTACCAATTTTAAATGACTCTCTATTTCACCTCTCAGTTTTAAGCAAAAATGCTCTGTTCTAAATTGCGAATATACACTTCTCTTCTTAAAGGATAGGAACGGTGATTTTTATACCGATACCCAGTACAATTAGGGACCTATAATTGCTTTGCAGCAAAATGTCAGAGAATCATCACCTCTTTTTCAGTTGTTTGAGAATGTTACAAATATTCAGTGATTATGATTAACCCTTTTTAGCTACATTCAATTAAGTATATTCAGGTGTTGCTATAATTTGAGCAATCAGCATAATTCTTCAGATTAGTGTGATTGATGCAGATATACCCACACTTAGGTTCCATCCGAAAAATGAAACACAAGTGTGGTTACTACTGACAACCTGAAAGAGCATCTTTGAAGAAGGCAGATCTTGTTGTAGTAATGTATTAAGACTATTTAATTTCTCACGCAGTAAAATGTATAGGCTCATAGAATGAATGCCATAATGTAAAAATGCAAAGAATTTTAAAATGTCACTTATATTAAGTATAGTAATGAGTTGAATTTTGAAATGGACACCTTAACCTCTGAAAAAGAGAAAACTCAGCCTATAAATCACTTGCAGACTATTAAACAGATAATCCAATGTTTCTAATTGTCATAATTACTATACACATCAGTCTCTCACCTTGTGGTAGTTCAGCAGATAAATATGGAGCTTCCTGAGCACTCACATGTGTCCAGTCAAAGTCATCATATGGATCTTGCTGGTAATCACACTGAGCAAGACCATCATCAAAAGTACATCCACCTGGAAGACAAAATGTTAACGTATTATCGGACAGCTGAGAAATTAATGTTCACCTCCCTTCTCTCAACAGACCTCTTGCCTCATATCTTACATGGTTTGTAAAACAAACTGAAATTAGACGGCTGATCATTTGCCTCAATGTAGTTACTTTACATTTCTGCAAGGTAAATGCAGAAAACAATGTCATCCTGCAATCTACAAGTCAGAAATGAGATCTGACACAAAGAACAGAGTAACCCATTTTAAGACAATTGGTTTTTGATCTGCACATTAGAAAAGGTTAAAGCCTTTTCTCAGAGTAGACATGCATTTTAGCTCTTCACTGCAACCTAGAGTGAATGAAAAAATATGCTGTTCAGGTACAGAGGACAGGAATCACAATAAAAAAATTAATACATCGAATCACTGAACTTCTGTTACACAGGATTGAAAACTGCTTTTTTAAATGCATTTTACAAAGTACTAGTGAGTGAGACACCTGAAGGGTTGTCTGTTCTAATCTCTGGATGGATGCCATTTTGCCCTTGAGCAAGACTGTTCATGCAGATTGCTTTAGTAAGTGCCCTGTTGCTTATACAAGTATTCTTAGACTGCAAATGCAAATGTTTAAAAATAATGAAGATCAGCATGACTATTAATCAACTATGATCTGACTTCAAGTTATGAACCCCTAAAACTGTTCTACACATACAAAGTCTGACAAATGTTGGCTACTGGATATTCAGGAGAGTTGCAATTTTCATAATTTTATGCAAAGAGCTTAATTATACTGAAAATGTTCAAAAATGTACATGAAAGGTCAAAATATTTACTTTTGACAACCATTGACCTTTAAGGCTTTCAGTGATGTCAGGCAGAAAATCACAATTTGCATTTTAATGAAGAGATCTAACAGGTGCTAATTAAATTCTCCTGATAGGATGCTAAAAACTAAAAATATATAATTGTCTCTATAGCTTGTGATTGAATAGATTTCAGATGTCAATAAACTCAAAATACTTGATGTAAGTGAACCTCTCTTTCAAGTTTATCAAATCCCTTTACCTTCAGATCTATTCTTCCTTCAGGTCGTCTATGCATTTTACAACTTTAAAATGTAAAATAAAATTAAGAGTCAGATCAATATTAGCATTACAGTATCTTCCTGAAACCGGAAATTAATCCTGTGTAGTTCTGTCAATTCGCAACGCTCCTTATTCTTTTACAACCAATCTGAAGCAATCACAATGTGTGAATTTATACACTGAGGAATCATACAGCATATATTACCAAGTCATCCAACATTAATAACTTCTGTCAAGTTAGCACAGTTTAATCTGCAATTAAAACATGATGACTCAACAGAGCACCAGTGCTAAAGCACTGCTTTGTGTTCTCAAGCCCAGTCATAGATCAAATATATGCAAATGCAATATCCTTGCAGCACTAGAAACCATTTATTATTTGTAACAAGATCTGCGTTTTTTTTCCTGACACATTCTCGACTTGAAGGCGAACTGAAAAAAGCTCAAACCAAAACCCATTTTCTTAAGTCAGTAAAATTTTGCCAATACCAATCTTATAATTCATTTCTAAAGGATCCATACTGTTTTGAAAGGTTAACCATTTCACCAATGCATGTGATGGTTACAAATAATGGTTAACTGCTAACTTTCAGAGACATAAAAATTCTCTCTTCTGAAAAACTAACAAAATTAAATACAAGATATGACAATTCCAGAACCATTTCAGATATTTTTTCTGCAGCATTTCAGTCTCCCACAAGCACACAGAAACCAGCGATGAGCGTAAAAGTTGAATGTTCTTTTTCCAGTCTTCAGTTCTATTAATTTTGCTTTCAATTTCAGTATGTGCTCCTGTAAGGGTGGGCTGTCACATTGTTTTAGTGAATGAAATGTGGTCAGTCAACGCTGTTCCCGGTATAGAATGCTGAACATTTAGCCTTGATTCTTACAGCAGTCTGCTTTACATGTGGATAAAAAGAAACCGTGTTCAAATTTATGTTCAAAACAACTGAGATCACAAGAAATGGGAACTAAGCAAACAAAGAAAAAAACACTAAGGACACAAATCCCCAAAAATGTAAATGTATAAGGAAAATTGGATTTTCAGTCTTCTTGGGGGACAAACTGTAAATTCTCCAAGGTTATGTGATGGAAGACGCCGAGTTAAAGTTAGAAGCTGGTCTACATAAATGTTTTAACTATAGTTATGACATAAAAAGAAAATACTGTCCTGAAACCTTTCTGACACCTCTCCAACCTTGGAGAGATCAATAAGTTTCATCTGCCATCTAGATCACAGAGAATGCCAATTACAGTGGCAAGTCCAGTGTTAGAGCAGTCAAGTACAGTACCTCACAGAAACTGTTTTAAAGGGAAATGCAGCTCACCTAATAAACCAAAGGAATACAAAACTATTTGAAATGATTAATACAAGTGTCATTAAGGCTTTATTCTCCACATCTGATTTCAAAGGCAGAGTTTCAATCAAGAAATTTAGATTAGGCACAATCTTTACTCCTGGTCAAACACATGCTATAAACTTTCTACAACATGAATGCCAGAAAATATCAACATTTGCCTTACATTCCATTATTAAACTGCAAGGTTAACACTGTTTTATTCTATCAGGCACAAATCAAAGAAGTTGTTATTATATTAATGGTTTAATAACAACAAGCTTCAACCCCAGGTGGACAAGCAAAGAGTTATAATTCAGACAGCCTGTAAGGATAGAGACTAAATAATTTGCATACTAATGTCAGGACCCAAATTTGGGAGGGTGCTAATGAAATAATCGTCTGCACGTCATTCACATAACAAAATAATTATGGTGGCTAGTAGGCCTTAAGCGCAAATGAAACACTTTCCCTGATAAAATGGGGTTAACAGCCCTATCAAAAGGCAAAGAAAAACATTACTGCTTTGGTGAAGTTACATGCAAGCCATGGTTTAACCATTACCTATCAATGTTTTCTTACACTACAGAAATACTACAATGGTTCAAACCCAAGAACACCTGTATACATGTAGACAATTCACACATTCACAGGGTAGAGAACATAACTCATACTTAAATTGAAAAACCTTTTTTAATTCTTCATTGCTATAAAAAAACAAGGAAAAACAGGTTAAAAAAAAAACACTAAAATTATTGAACAGTCATTATCCAGTATGCAGGGAAGGAAATCTCCTAGTCCATGTAAATGAAATTCATAGTCTTAAGGTATTCCTTGCAAGCTCCATTAAATGCTTAAAAAGTGTGTCTTACTAGACTGTCCTCCACTTGATTCGTTTTTTTTTTAAATGAAAGTTAAATTTGCAAGAGGCCTTGAGAGAAAAGCCTAACTTCAAGAAAGCTACATCTGCTAGCAATCAAATAATGGAATGAAGAGTGTTTTACAAAGGGAAATAGGCCAAAGGTTTTTGAGATCTGTCATAACTGTGGGGAATCCACAAAGCACATTTAATAAGGATGTATTTACTCTTGAATTTCCCATGCGGAAACAGACTAAGATTTTTTCCAAGAATAATAAAATACTGATACCCAGATATGGCGCTTTGAAAAGGGTTTCACGCCTTTTCAATGATGTCTCGTTTTGTTGAATTGCAAGCCACGAAAATGAAGTGAATGTTTTAATTTAATCTTGAATACTCAAACTTAAATAGTAAAATGTCATCAAAATTTGGAAAACAAAATGCAGAACTAAAAATCTTAACTGCATAAGTATTCACACCTTTACTGTGGCAAACAAAATCAGCTCAGATGCACAATGTTAATATGACAAGTCACACAATTAGCTGAATGGCGTCTGTATGTGCATTATGACAGTGAAGTATATGCAGTGAAGTTCCCTCTTTCAGGCAGTGAATTTCGATTGAAGATTGAACCATGAAGACCATGAAGGAGCTTTCAAAACAACGTAGGGATAAACTCGTATAAATGCATAGATCCGGAAAGGGTATAAAACATTTCACACTCCCTTAATGTCTCTTTAAGCATGGTGAAGGGAAAGTTCAAGAAGTGGAAGAATCTAGCTGTTCCTCCAAAATGAGAAGGCCAAGGTGGAAACTGGTTAGGGGTGCTACCATGAGGCCAATGACAACTTTGAAGGACCACGTTCACTGGATAAGATGAGCGAATGTCCATGAGTCAACAGTATATCTACCAATCACTACACTTAAGTGGCCTATAGCAAAGTGTCAAATTCATTTCAAATCCCACAAAGTTGCAAGGGGTTGCGGTCATGCAAGACAATTTGGGACTTTTGGTTTACATGCAAAGCATTACACATGGTGCAAAACCAGCACAGTCCATCACTAAGTCAACACTACACTATTCAGCAAGGTGGTAACAGTATTATGACATTAAAGCTTTTATCTATGAAAACATTCATTTTGAAAATTCAAATTTAAATTAAGAATGCACACATGATATATATACAATTTGTAATTAAACAAAACAGGACATCATTAGAAGGAGGTGAATACTTTGGCAATGTTCTGTATCTGCCGAGATTTTCATCTTGTGTACATCCCTGGGGCGGTGTGTAATGTAAACTGGCAGAATTATTAATTATGTTGCTACTTGAAGACCTACATCTTTTCTATGTGATTCTACATAGTTGTCAGGCGAGTGATCAGAATAATTGTCTCAAAGGATCAGATTTAATTAAAGGATTTGCTAACACTAAAAAGGTTCTGAGGGGACTTGTTTCAGGCAGTAAATCCTTAAAGGTACTGACAAAGTGAACCTAAGACTATTTTTTTAAGATCAACAAGGTAACAAGTAAACTGAAAGTGACAAGCAAATTAAGAAGAAACATTAAGGAATGAAACCAGAAAGATTTCAGAACGTTATTGCTGGTCTCTGGAATAAATTATCTAATTCATGCTATTGAAGTTAGGTTTTCAAACAGGATCTCATCCAACTGTGTCTTTTATGTTTTTAGCATTAACACACAAATGAGCAAATTGGTCCAAATGTGCTTTCCTTGT